CCCTGGATCGAGTCCCGCATCGGACTCCCTGCTCTGCAGGGAGTCTGCTTCTCTCTCTGACCCTCCCCCCTCTCATGTGCTCTCTCTCATTCTCTCTCTCTCTCAAATAAATAAATAAAATCTTTAAAAAAAATAAAATAAAGTGTATGTTTTTAAATTGTGTGTGAGTAGTGGAGAACTAGAAGAATACACAGCAAACTATTAATAGTATTTACTGCTGGAGTGGCTATTATGGGGTCTTTTGCATTTTATATTTTACAGGTTTTAATTTTCTAAGGCATGTCCAGTTTTTGTAAGCAGGAAAAAAATGCAATTTAAAAACCAAAAGCAATCACATTTTTAAAAAAAGCTCTAGTGAAGATGGATTTGAGAATAGCCTGTCTATTAAACATCCTTTGTAATGTCCTTTGTAATCATAATGGTAAGTCTCCACAGGGATTCATCAATATATTCCTTTGTTGTTTTTTTAGTCAGTATTTACAGGATGAAAGTAAGACCAAAAGAAATATTGATCTGAATCTTTTAGAGTGGACCCACTACAGCATGAAGCCACATGTAAGTGACGATCATCTGCATTTGAAGTGCTGTTGCCTTTACTGACTGTGGCACATTATGTAGACCCTGCTTCTTCCCTCCCCTCACTCATTTATACCCTTAGGCATGCGTTCTCCTGAAGTATACATCTTAAGAATTATCTGCTTCTAAATCTTTAGAAATTCGTTTAACCAAGATGTCTGCTTTTTGGCCTTTATTTCTTGGTTAAATCTAAATGTTGGGGCAGCTGGGTAGATCAGTTGGTTAAGCATCTGACTCTTTTTTTTTTTGAAGATCTTTATTGAGGTGTAGTTGACAGAAGAAAAATGCACAGTTAAAGTGTACAATTGGATAAGTCTTCACATAGATATATACATGTGAAACCATCATCATACTCAAGATAATGAAGATGCCCATCACCCCAAGAGCTTCTTTATGCCCCTTGGGAACCCTTCCCTCCAGTCCCATTCCCATGCTACACAACTCATCTGCTTCCTGCCAATTTAACATGCTGTTGCTGTCCACTATTTTAGATTGTCTTTTGGAAAGGCCTATGAATCACACATCATTATCACTTTATATAAACAATGGTTGTTTACATTTACCTACATCTTTATCAGTTTATTGGCTCTGCATTCATTCTTGCATCTCAGACTTTTCTTGGGAGATCATTTTTTGGAAACACATCATTTAAAAATTCTTCTAGTCAACGTCTGGTAGTAAATGTTCTTAGTTTGTGAAAATCTGAAAATGTGTCTGCTTCACCTTCATACAGGAAAGATGTTTTTCTAGGTGCACAGTTCTAGGTTGTCAATGTTTGTTCACTTAGAACTCTGAAGATAAGTGCACTGTGTTCTGGTTTCCTTGTTGCTACCGAGACATCTGATATATAGTTACCATTCCTTTGCAGACCAATTTGTCCTTTCTTTCTGGATTCTTTTAAGCATCCGACTCCTGATTTCGGCTCAGGACATGATCTCAGGGTTGTGAGATCAATCCTGCGTCGGGCTCCACAGTCAGCAGGGAGTCTGCTTGAAGATTCTCTCTCCCTCTCTTTCTGCCCCTCCTCCTGTGCACCCACTCTCTATCTCTCGCAAATAAATAAATCTTAAAAAAAAAATAAATTGTGGGGCGCCTGGGTGGTTCAGTCGGTTAAGTATCTGCCTTTGGCTTGGGTCATGATACCAGGGTTCCTGGGATCAAGCCCTGCATTGGGGTCCACGCTCAGCGGGGAGCCTGCTTCTCCTCCTCCCTCTGCCACTTCCCCTGCTTGTGAGTGCTCACGCTCTCTCTTTCAAATAAATAAAATCTTTAAAAAACAAATTGTAAATATTAACCATATGCTAGCATGTCTCTCAAAAAAAGCGAATAAACTCAAGTCAGCTATTTTTCTTGGTTGGTGCTGATGAAAGTTTAAAGTTCTTGTTACTTACTGGGAATTTTGTTTATTTAGGTCTTAAAGGTCCCATGCCACAGGTCCTCAAGAGTCAAGTATGCTCTTTGTGAATATGCTTTGTATTATACTTGCCAGATTTGAATCTCATTCAGGGTTTGACAATGCATACATTTTTGAGCCCTAATGGCTTCTTTTTAAAGTAAGCTGCATAAATTCAGCTTTAGCCCTCACCTGTGTATAATGGCTCCCCTATCTTTACTCAAAGGATTTTCCTTTCTAAGTTGAATAATTAGAAGGTTAAGCTTTGAAATTTCCTGAGGAAAGCATAGATATAAGGAGTCTGTTAGGATGAGTACCATGTTCTGGTATGGAGAACGTAATAAAGAAAACAAATTGTATGTTGGAGTCTATAGTTCTCTCCATTCTGTGAGAGATGCTGTGCTCAGGAGAAAAGTGTGAGCTACCTACCGTATGTGTGGGTGTTGTGCATGTTCAGACAATCTTTTCTTTTTTTACAATAATCATCTGTATTTCTTGGAATAAAAATTGAGCTTTGGTCATCTGGAATGTTTTCCAGCAGGGGATTCAGACTCTCTTTTATTCTTACTATCTTGTGCTCCTTAGAGCTGACAGCCAAAATGCGTATGGGGCTGGCCAAGGTTAGGGCAGCAGAGGCCTGGGGAGTGTGTCAATTTAGTTCACGTGGATTGGTTTTGGGGCCTTTAGTACCACTTGCAGTAAGCTCTGCTTTTGCCTCAGGACAGAATTGAGCCATCAAAGCAAGATCCTGATGAAAGCCTGTCAAGAGGCATTTTTTCTTTTCCCTGCTTGTAGCTGTGGGAGTCGAAAGTTGTGGTCTTCTTTTCCTGTCTAGAGAAGTTAAACCCTGCAGTATTGAAATAGGTTAGTTGTTTTGATTGAGCCATATTTAGCCCTTTTCAAAATGTATAAAGTGCTTCTGAAACCATTCTGACTAGAATTCCTGTTCCTAGTAATAAACTTTCAGTTTGGTTTCTTAGTATGAGAGCCAAGAGATGGAATTGTCACTTTGCTTTTCCTTTCCTTTCTGAAAAATATTTTCTGTGCGGGTCACGAACTCCAGTCATGGTGGGAGTTCTTATGCCACATAAAGACTGTGTTTTTGTAGTACCTTTATAATATTGTTTATCCACTGTAATATTTATAAGAAGTCAAAGGAGTTTGTATTTGATGACATTTTTATCCCTTTCTCCCCCCCCTTTTTTGTTTAAATTTTAGGAGATTCCTCAACAGTTGAATGGGAGTGATTGTGGAATGTTTACTTGTAAATATGCAGATTATATCTCTAGGGACAAACCTATCACATTTACTCAGGTGAGTGGAGCCCCCTCTTCACCCACTTACTTGTTATCGAAGAAGATGAACTCCGAGCGGGTTCCCCGTGCCTGGTGCACAGTAAGGTCTGAAGAATGGCCCCTGTGCCGCCGCTCTTGCTGTTGTCACCCTCGGCCGTGGCCCCGCTCCTGCTGGGATCGGGGTTTGGCACTGCATCTGCTCTTAGGTTTCTCCTCCTCTTTGGTGACCAGTGAGGCAGTTTGCATATCTCCGAACTCCAGTGTTCACTAGCTCCTGAGTATTACTGATATTTTTGGCCAAAGGAGGAGGCAAGTAAGAGTGTGTGTGACAGCCCGGGGAAATCAGGCCTTGTGAGAAGGTAAGCTGCGGGTCTGAGCTAGAACTGCAAATACTGCCTTCCCTTTCTGTGCTGGTTACTTGAGGTCCTCCGGGGCTCTGTATTTGAGCGGGAATTCGAGTGTGTTGGGAACTCTTGAGAGTTTGTTTGTAATAGTGGATTCTCAACCTTTTTATAACTGAGTCAGGACAACCCCCTTTAAAATATATTTTTCTTCAGCAGACCTCATTTGGGTAGATGTTGTCTACCAAACTACTTACTGAATAGGACTGGTAACCCTATTCCAAGCTGGTGAGCAATATGAAGTAACTAGGGCTCCCATGCTGAATTAATACAATTCTAGTCTAAAATAAAGGCACTTTTTATTGGTTAGTTTTAGTAGTTTTACTAAGAATAAATGTGTGATTTTTTTTTTTTACTCTATGTTTTGAACTATTTAAAATAACTTACACATCCATGTATTAAGGCTTTTTAGGCCCCTCCAGGTAGGAAATCACTAGTTTATAGTAAAGTGGTATATCCATCTTATAATGAGATACCAGGAGTACTTCAAGGGTGTGAACTTCTGATTTCATCAAAAAGAGGACTAGTTGAGTTACAGGTAATTTTGGATTTGTCTTGTGTGTTGCTGCTTTGGAAATTGGCCCATGTAGTGATTATCATAAAGCAGAATAATATATTGAGCCAAGCCATTTCCTTTTTTGATGCTTCTAAGTAACAAGGAGTTATTTGCTGTCCGAACCTACTGACGTGAGATTTGAAGGGCAGAAGTTGCCATTTGAACAGAATTGACAATGTATAACGTTTGGTAAAACAGGGAGAGATTTTTGAATGTTTTTTCCTTTATTTAAATAGAGTTCATGTTTTTCTCGAAAAAGCAAAATATGTTCATTGTAGAATGTTCTGTAAGTATATGTAAGTAGAAAAGTTCCATATTATGCTACCACTTGGGGTTTCCATTTTGGTTCACGTCTTTGTGCTATGACGTAGTTGTGGGATTCTATTGTATAATTCTGCAACCCGCTTTGATTTTCCTTAACGTGTAAAACTGCTTCTGATAACAGACATTATAATAAGAACATTATAACCCCCTTATCTATGGCTTTGTAAGTCTGAACCATGACATAAAAGAGTCAAGGCTTCTGTAAAGGACATGGTTTATTTACGCGATTGCGCCCCGAGGGTTACTGTGCGGCATATGATGTGTTGTTTGTGGACTGCAGCACCAGATGCCTCTCTTCCGGAAGAAGATGGTGTGGGAAATCCTTCATCAGCAGCTGCTGTGAGAGTGCCCCGCCCAGTCCCTCGAGCTGCTGGTGGTTCTGTCACGGAGGACGGCTGTTTCCATATACCTCATGCGTCGTGGGTTCAGAAGTCCCTGCATCACCTCTGTTGGCTCACAGGTCCTGAGCTGTAGGACGTGCGCGCCGGCCTCGCCTGCACCCTGGTCCTGACGTGGTGTGTGGACGTTCTGCCTGCAACCCCCTGTGTAAGCCTGTGCCTGCTCAGAGCCTGGACTGTTCGACCCACACGAGAACAAACGCTCATTAATAACTCTTTTTTTTTAAAGGTCCTTTTTTCCCTATGAATGTGGGAAATGCAGGATTTATTCTACGATGTGTCTTCTGCGTGTGTGTTCCCGTGTGTTCATTCGCTCACTCATTTGCAAGCATAACGGGCAGTGGCCGTCTGCCGCTGCTCTTACAGTTAACTCTGAATTACCTGTTTGAACTATTTATTTGTGAAGGGAATGTTACCCAAGCTCCACTCCCAGCCGAAGATCCAGAGGGCAGTCAGTGCGGGGGGCGGGAAGGAAGGGTTAACCGACTGCCCCAGGGCTGGAGCAGAAAGGGCCAACTCAGCTGCAGATGCTGCGTTGGAGCCCGGGGAGGCGCCGCGGGGGAGGGCTCCGGAGCCTTCCAGAGCCAGCCTGGCGCCGCAGCGCCGGCACGGGGCGCACGGGGCGCACGGGGCGCACGGGGCGCGGCAGAGCGGGGCGTGGTTCGCCAGGCGCCTTCACGAGAGCGCCGCGGGCATCCTAGAGAGACCGCTCCTTCTGGAAATGAGGTGACTTGGCTGCTCTTGAGACGGGATTTGAAGTAACTGTAAGCCCTAAATCTTCATTTTCATCCCATACTGGGTGAGTATAAACCTCAAAATTGTAAGGGCTGGCCCGGGCTGTTGATGTCAAAAGATACTATTCAATGTCAGAGCTATTTTTCCTCAAACGTTGTTTTTTTCTATATATAAAACCGAAATTAAGTTTTGTACTCGTTAGGATTTACGTCCCTCCCCCCCATTCCATCCCCACTGAAATTTGGAAGAAAATTTAGTACTTGGCTCTGAGGCTGCCAGTTGTACAATGATCTATTTTGCATATGAAAGTTTGTATTTACCTTTTTTGTTCATTAAAAACTTTCCAGTGGTTACGCATTTTTAATTTCAGAGAGTTTATAGAGTTGGTCAGAGCATATTTTGCAAGATCTAGTGCCTAGTGTTGCTTTCCCGGTGTAATAAAGGCTGTCTGGCGGAACCTGAAAAGTATGTGCTGAAATGACTTCTAACCCTTTCCGCACCTAACCCCCCCCCCCCACTTGTCCTGGCGCACAAAAGCAAGGGGGTAAAACCAGAAAAATCGGGCCTGTGTTCGCCATGAACCAGCGTGTCCGCCCTCTGGAGGGCGTGGCCGCCGGTCACAGACGCCTGGTATTGTAGCCAGGTTCCCTGGGACGTGTCCGAGTCTCCGTATACGGCATCTGGGGCCCTGCAGAAATTGTGGTGCCTACTTGATAGGCACACCAGAGGACGTGTGCTGGATGAGGAGTAGAAGGGTGAGCTGCTTGTGCAGAGTCTCCCTCAAGCTTAGGCCGCACACAGCCTCTTCTGGAGGCTACCGGCGCTGTGTCAGTGAGTGCTGGGATCAAGCAGCTGGTACAGCCAAAAAGCCGGAGATTTACCGGCTCAGCATTATACTAAAAACCTGGGTTCCACTTGGCTCTTAGAGGTTTCACCTGAGAATTTAGTACCTTAAGATTTGTTCCATGGGGGGTAAATCCGGTGAGGAATGGCGGTTTGTATTCCACAAATGTCCCCGGGGAGGGACAACGGGTTTCAGTCGTTTGTGTGACACAAGGAGCTGAGGGGCTTCTTCGAGCAGCGGTCGCTGAGCTGCCCACTACTGTGTACTCTTCAGGACAGCCCTTAACAGTCTCCCAGGACATAACGAAATCGACGAGAGCAGGGAGTTAAGCTAGAGAACGGCCTTCTAGTTTACCCCGAGTTCCTGAATTTAATAGGAGTTACCACAGGCCGTGCTTCTCCAGGCCACTGACGTGTCTCTCTTGGTGCAGAGAAACTTGTCACTAATAGAATTTTTATTTCTAAACAGCTTATGAGAAAAGCAGTCAGGTGATAAAATCAACAGCTGATCTTACCAGTAGCCAATTACCAACATTAAAGCCAGCGACAGATACATATTTTTAAATTGCAGGAGTTTGGGGATCTGAGAAAAAAGGTAGAGTGGACCATTGTTCTTTTTTAGTAGGCACTCTGTCCTAAAGATTGATAAAGATGAAAAAAGAAAAAAACATACACAAAAACTGTTGGTAAGCACGTGTCTTTCTCATGTTTGACCTTATACCAGAGCTGGGATGTGGTGGGAGGGACACAGACCTGGGGCATTTGGAAGATGTTCCGGAGAGCCCCAGATTCTACCTCAGTTGCCAAAGACTATTAGAACTTCTGAACTATTCCTCTGAAATCTTAAGCACAACTTGAGGAATGCCAGGTTGAATGGTGGCTGTTCGCACTATAAGGAGTTGCTTGGTGCTGGGACCAAGGTGTGGGTGTGGGAGAATGTGTCCTTGGAGATCTATTGAACCTCAGATACAGATAAGTCAACAAGCTAGAGAAATTTAAGTCTGTAGTAACCTTAGTACTATAGTGAAGCTACATAGTTTAAATTGGGTTTTGTGGGGGCGCCTGGGTGGCTCAGTTGGTTAAGCGACTGCCTTCGGCTCAGGTCATGATCCTGGAGTCCCGGGATCGAGTCCCGCATCGGGCTCCCTGCTCAGCAGGGAGTCTGCTTCTCCCTCTGACCCTCCTCCCTCTCATGCTCTCTGTCTCTCATTCTCTCTCTTGCAAATAAATAAAATCTTAAAAAAAAAAAAAATTAAAAAAAAATGGGTTTTGTGAACTAATTGGGAACCTGATCTCTAGTTTCTTTGAGGAAAAACTCTAAGCACCCAATATTCAAGCAAACTTTTGGTACTGTTTTAAGTTAGAGATCTAGCTGGCTGTATTGCTTTGATAACTTTTTTTTTAAGATTTTATTTATTTATTTGACAGAGGGAGCGAGCACAAGCAGGGGGAGAAGCACAGCGAGAAGCAGACTCCCCACCGAGCAGGGAGCCTGATGTGGTGCTCGATCCCAGGACCCTGGGATCATGGCCCGAGCCGAAGGCAGATGCTCAACTGACTGAGCCACCCAGGCGCCCCTGATCACTTTTTTCTTTTAATTTACTTAATCTATACAAGGAGGAGTTTGGGTGTATTGAAACAGGTGTTGATTTTATCAATAGATAAGTAGGTATTGATTTTATGAAATCAGTAGGTGTTGATTTCATCTTTTTTTTTTTTTT